AGGTCCTTATGCCAGAAAGTGGTAACTGGCATAGACTTCGACTCATACAGGACGACTTCTCTGCTCAATACATCGTAAGTCATGCCGGCCTGCTGAGATTTGTCAAAGAAATGCCCGCGTAGGGCCTCTGGAATGGCACGATAAAACAACTGGACCAGCTGGGGCTCAGTGACCCCGTGGTCCGGGACGGCTACCAAGTCGTCCATAGTACCTTTGAGTGCCTTAGCACTCCTCCACTGCCGGGAGTGGATCGTTTGGAGCTTATCAGCGGCTCTAATGCCTCGCGTTGGGTCAGCGAACCGCTCCTTGAGGAGCTTGAGGAATTGGGAAAGAGGAGTGACTTTGGAATATGCAACCAGGTTGTTTTCACAACCGGCTGTACGCGCGAGAGACCTGGCGAAGCTAGCCGCTTCGTCCTTCAGGGCCTGGAAGGCCACGAGGACTTGCTCCTCTATCAGGATATGCTGTAAGTAAATGTAACTATTGACACTGGCCTCCCAGTTGTCAAAGTTCTTGTCCTTCTTTCCCCCGTACGCGTCTGGGAACTTAAGTTTTACTGGGTCCTTACGGGGTCTGCCCTCTCCTTCTACCGCAGCTGCACCTTTGGCACCCTGAATGGCGCGCTCACAAAACTTCCCTACATTGTCTCTCAACTGTTTGACTTCGCCCCCAATGTGGGTGACGATTTCGCGCGCAAAATCCCTAAACCCGGACCGCATGGCACTCAACGCTACATCCTAGCTCCAACTTGCCTGACGCTCCTCCATCCAGGCCTTGCTCAACACCTCTAGATAGCCCAGTCCTTTGTCCCACTTGACCTTATCATCTCGCTGGGCCAGCACCTCCGCTCTACACTCCTGCACCTTCGCCACTGCAGCGGTTATCTTATTCACTTCCTCTCTCCTCCTCTTCTTCTCCCTCTTCATTCTCAACTTCCATGCTAACTTTTGCTCGTCTTCCCTCTCTCTTCGTTCCATTGGGTCTATCATGGCTGCTAGCTCAGCGGCCAGCGCAGCCTTCTCATCCTTAGTCACATAGGACTCCGCCTCCTCATCTTCCCCCAACGATAAATTAGCGACCCACTCGCTGATCTTCTTCTCCAGCTCAGTGTCTGTCTCCCACTTCATCGTACCACCACTGCTCCCTTCTCCACTCTCAATTCTCATTCTCTCTTTCTCTTATTCTGCTGCCGCTTCTGCTTCAGCAACTTTTCTTCTTTCTTCCTCCTCTTGTTGCACTCTCTTCATTTCCTCCTCCAACCTCTTCATCTTTGCCGCGTGCTCATCTGCGATAGCCTTTAGCTTCGCCTGCTTCTCGCGCTCTCTTCTCTCCTTGTTCTCTTTCACTAAGGCGGCCATCTTTGCTTGCTGCTCAGGGGTGTAGGGACTAGTCTTCGTCCCACTACGGGTCTCAACCATGGTGATAAGTGTACAACCGGGTTAGTGGTTCCAAACCTCACCACGTAGACTCTGACCCGTGACTGACAAACCTATAGACTCGATCTCAGACTTACAAAATCCTGACAAGGACCCTGTCAACTATGGTCTCTAGCCTAGACCTATGCTATGGCTGTCACTACTGAACCAGTGGCTGATCAGGAGGCATTTAAGGAGATCCCCCGTAACTCCTCAAGAATTCTTTAACGTCGCAGWCAGGACGACGTGATCAGCTTGGCTCTGCCTGTGCTTTCAGGCCACAACTTAGCCTTTCCGGCCTACTGTGCCACCTCGAGCAGCCCGCCGGTCTATACCGGTCCTTGGGAGGGTTCGTATCCCCCGGGACAGTCGAGTCGTCAGACACAGATCATCAGCCTTACTTGGTCTGGTAGGGGAGTGGTTCCAACAGGCCCTCAACACTTAAAAACGGCCTCCGTTTCAGCCTGCAGCTTAGAGTTCGGACCCTCTACACTGAAACTGAGCAGACCTGCCGGACAGTACCGGTCATTGGGCTAGACGAGTTGTTTAACAAGCGCTCGCCGCTCATGCCCAGGTCTCCAGATACCAGAGTAGAGATTAGTCCTACTAAGTCTCGTGCAGGTTTGGCAGCAAGGCCCTATCCTTCATCCACAGAGTTCTATGACCTAGGACAGAAGAGACTCAATGTAGAAAGAATAGATAGACAGACTGTATTCAGCAAGTACCAAGGGGTATATGCACATCCATAGGGCAAGGGGCAGGCTAAGGGCGAGGCGAGATGTTACCAACTTCAGCTTAGTCAAAGTCTTGGTCAACACCTTGGTCAACGCCTTGGTCAACGACCTTGGTCAACGACCTTGGTCAACGTCGGTCAACGTTGCTATGACCCTCGGTCAACTTCGGTCAACTCCGGTCAACGCCTCCGGTCAACCCTTTCGGTCAACTCCCCGGTCAGCTATGGCTGCCGGCACTTCTTCCTCGCCAATCCCCTTCT